ATAGATAGATATATATATATATATATATATATATATATATACACCGCATTATTACTATACCACCAACCATGCTGTTGCTGCATTTGACTATATTTTCTATTCTTTTTGACAAATCAAAGGGATGCGCTTTAGGGTTCTTTTAATTTCTGTCTCTCTCCGCTCTCTCTCATGTCCTCCCACACTCCTACACACAGTCTAGCAGTCCACTCTCTCTCAGTTGTGTCTACACTCCTCTCGCCATCTACGTTCGTTTTCATCCATCCTTCTCTCCATGGCTCTCCTACCATCTTCCAACGTGGTAGCGTTGATCTCAGTACTGGAGGGTCCCGTCCCGGCTCTGTTGAAGGCCTGGACCACAACCCCGTACTGGGCAAACTTCTTGAGGTTGTCCAAGGTGTACACTTCGCTGTCTCCTGTAGCTTTCATCTCCACTATGCTGTACTGGCCGTTGCTGCCTGGACCGTTCTCTCTGTAACCGATCTGGTAGCCTCTGATCAACCCGTTCTGCAGCTCCTTCTTAGGAGCCTGAAAGAAATGTGATGATAGCTATTAAATTAATATTAAAGTGCATGGCATGTCAAACTTAAACTTTGTTTAGCTGCAATAAAATCACTGGTGAGATATTTTTGAATTTAGCAGTAATATGTACAATAATAACAGTAAAACGTTGAATAGCATCCCAGCTTTGTCTCACGGGTGTGACCGTGATTAGAAGCTTTCATTTAGGTTTAATTTCTATTTTTTTCAACAATATGCAGGTAAACGGTTGATGCCCAACAAAAAGGCACAGAATAAATGTGTTTCTGTCGCAGAGTGGCAGCGATGCAGTCAGCTGTGTGTGTATTTCAGTTAGCTGATAGCTTTTTAGCCAAATACACCATCCAAAACAATAAAAGTGAGCTAACTGTTCCCCATAGACATGAAGTTCCACTGTGTGGCAATGCAGTCAGTTGTGTTATCACTAGCGGCCCCTTCCGTCCGGGGGGCCGGTTAAGAGTGTGAGTGTATTTATGTTTGCATTACTGTAACTGATACTTTCACCAATGTCTAGTTGTACAGCTCAGAAGTATTTGGCCTCCTTTGTCATCTTTTAACTAACCAAAAAGTTTGTGTCAGTGCTTATCCCTCATATGGAAATACTAACAGCAAAAGCTTAAATATTTGCATATTTGCATTAATTCTTGCTTAAGAAAACAATATATAATAATTATTAAGCCTGTCATAATGCAGTGTATTAATCAATTTAATGTTTAGGCATGCTTAAACTTGAAGACGATTGTAGGTTAAGACATACAGGGCATATATATTCAGTTTTCAGGACAGCATTAACATTTAACTGAACTGTTGTGTAGACAGAGGTATTCGTTCTCTGGGTATAATAATAATAATCATAGTAGTGATTTTACCCTCCAAGTAACCCGTATGCTCTGCGATGTCATTGGTGTGAGGATTACTTCCATCGGTGGCCCATCAGGCGCTGTTGATGGAAGATAAGAATAAAAATCAAGTGTTAGCGTCAATATTCTTAGTCCTTAGAAATTACTATTTTTAGAAAAAGTAAAGCAGACGTAAAGAAAAAACAGACAAATGTGCTTTCTAGAGGAGAAAACAATCACTTACGTGCTTCCTCAGTACTGATTGTGAGCTCTTTGCTGGGCAGGCTTCGGCCTATCTTGTTGTAGGAGTACATGCGGATGCTGTAAACACAAGCCGGGTGCAACTCGACAATGTTGGCCTGGTTGTTGGTGGGTGAGATGTTCCTGGTTGTGTACATGTGATCCCAGGAATCTGTCAAATACAAAAAGATTTGAGAAGTTTTTAAGACGTGTATCTTAAAAACAATCGGATATACACGTCGAAATTTAGGATACCCACCTGACTTGTTCTTGTACTCGATGTCGTAGCTGGTGATGATGCTGTTTCCATCGAACCTTTGGATCCAGCGAAGGTTCATGCTCCTGTCCTTCACCTCCCTCACTTCCAGTTCAGGGGGATCTGGTGGTTCTGTATGATTGTGTGAGAGAGAGAGGAAGGTAAGAGCTTTTCACCTGCAGTATTTAACTAAAGTGTTGGGAGATCTGATTCAAACACATTTTCCCACTGGACTGTTTACATATCCACATAGACTGTGTTATGAGGCCTAATGTTTCAATCAATTAAATAAGGTTGTGAGACGTGTACAGTTTGTGCTAGTGATACCTTGCACAGTGAGTTGGATGAGCCCTCGACCCTCTCCATAGGAGTTGATGGCATGGCAGGAGAAAAAGACAGAATCTCCTCGCTCGGCTGGGTTCAGCTGTGAGCATCAACGCAAACAGAAAATGGTTACAATGTGTCACACTAATTCGCTTTAACTCCCGACAATAACGAAAGATTCCGGGTACTTTCCTACAGTTATGAGCCGAGAGGCATTTTGTAGCATTAGTGGCTTGTGGCCTTATTTTGAAAAAAATTACAATTCTTATTTCACAGAATATATTTTACAGAAAGAAAATTGAAGTCGCTGTTTATTCTCCACGCAGCATCTAACAATCCCTCTCAGTTATGGCGTGAGGGCATTATGCTGAGTTCAGGGTCTCCTGGGTGCGGTATTTGGTATCTAACCTTAAGCGTGGAGATGACTTCGTCGCCCTTCTTATTGATGGTTATGGAGTAACGGGGGTTTCTCTCAGCGTCAATGACGGTGTCTCCTCTCTCCCATCGGATGATGATGGGCTGCTCGCCACGCGCTGTGCAGTTCAGGTCCTTGGTCTGGCCCTTCCTCGCCATGGTGGTGTTGGGGTGGCTGGTGATCATGGCAGGAACTGAGCAGAAAAGCAGACATATGTCAGTGTGACGAATGGTATTATATGGAGTAATGAGACGAGGGAACAGGGATGTGGTATTGGAAACCGAGGATATATTACAGATGTATAGACATCTCTATTTCTGCACTTCGTTTTCCATTTTCATTTCACGCTTCAAGCCCCGCTGGCCCTCTTACTCTACCTCCTCCCTGTCCGCCTTCTTCTTCCACTCCCAATTCTTTTTCCACCTCCTTTCCTCAGACATAGATTATTGATTGAACGGGTTCCTGCGGTTTTGTTTTCATCACTAATTCATCAGTCCTTTTCCCCACCAAACATTCAGGAGCCCACAGACCGGCAGCCGGAACACATCAATCAATAGCAAAGATACCTCCATTTAGTGATGTGCAGGACGGAGACAAGGTTTTGTTAGGTTCAGTACAGGCTTTATAGCCTGGGGCAAAAGTGCATCTCAGAAGAGCTGACTTCCCTAAAAAAAAGGCTTGTCTCTGTGTACAGTGTATGTGCAATCCAGGAGATGTAGTTATGAAAGTGTTCAAGCCAAAGAGAGTATGATTGACACTTACTCTTGACAGTGAGGATCATGCTCTTACTGATGTCTGAGCCCACTCCGTTGGAGGCCTGACAGAGGTAGTACCCACGGTCGTCCTCAAGCACGTGTCGGATGAGCAGAGAGCCATTTGACATGATCTGGATTCGGCCAGTCAGAGGGACTGGGTGGTACTGCTGAGGGTTTCCTACACCTGCACCACACAAATTAAATGCATGTTAGCGCTTCAATTTCTCCTTGTTCACATGATTTTGTTTTTATGATGTTGTAGGGAGGGATAATGTTACCTTTAGCATGTTTCCACATGACTTTTGGAGGTGGGTAACCCTCCACAGAGCAGTTGAGAACTCCAGCTTTGCCGTAGATACAATCTTGATTGTTGGGCTGCACAACAAAACGTGGTGGCACTGAGAAACAAAAAGATGTGATTAACCTTAATGGAAGAACTAAAAAAAGTGTGTAGTGTTCCTAAAATAACATGTACAATTCTAAGCTCCCTCTGCACATCTGATCTGACCTAATTCACCATCATGCCATTCTCCCTTCGCTCAATCTCTCACCAGTAACAATCAACTGTCGTTCCCAGCTGACGGTGGCGGCGGCGTTGCTGGCGATGCAGGTGTAGTTTCCATTGTGCTTCAGTGTCACCTTGGATATTTGCAGGGAGCTCATGAACTCTTTGGTCTCTATTGCGACTCCAGAGGCGGAGCCTGGCACGATGAGCTGGCCGTCTTTGTGCCAGGTGATGCGTATGGGCATGTCCCCAGATGACACCACACAGGCGATGTACATGAGCTTCCCCACTGAGGTAGAGGGGATATCGAAGGGCTGGATGAGCGGCGGCACTGGGGGAGAGAGGAGAAGTCAGTGGAATAAAGGTAACAATAGACGTGGAATAAAGGTAGCGATAGATGTGGATGAGTGGCAGTGTGGCCATCTGGAGTACTGCTGAGAGAGAGAGAGAGAGCGAGAGAAGGTCATTGGCCAGTGGGCCCCTCCCCTGCACCCCCCATCTCCTGCAGCCCATAATAGCTGCTCTGGTTAGAGTCCAATTGGCAGGAGGAAGTCATTCCGTTGCCATAGTAATAGAGGTTGGGGTGGGGGTACTACAGCTGAGACATCTGGGGGATTTAATCTAGGCTTCATTATTATTCATCTAATTAAATCAGAGACACACTCGCACGCAGGCACATGCACACACACTTAAACACCTCTGCAGCTGCCCTGCTACCATCGTTACCCCTCTCACAGACTAAACAAAATGTACAAATGCACAGCGAAACATAAATCTATCCTAAACCACCATCTGAGTCTGTCAAGCATTACTGTAACGCAGCACTGCACAACTTTGAACATTGGTGTCTCCAATTGGTAGTGGTTAGATACTCTGATACCCAGTAATCTCTTTATCTAACATCTGTAAACTGCATACGTGTTTATTTATGTATTTTTTAATAGCAAATTCTGTTGTTGCTTTTTCCTAAATGAAAAAGAAAGGCAAAGAACTAATAACGGCTATTTCAGGTATTTTTTTGGGACAGATTGCTTTCTCACTACTGTTTTAAGAGACATTTTGAATTTTAGATACAGTGATGTGTTCAAGTGAATGTCTTTTGGAAAATAGGGTGAAGCCACAGTACATTCCAATCAAGTATCCACTGGTGGGTCACTCTATCTGGGTGTATTTGACCTTAAAACATTGCCCAGTGCATTTCTATCCCCTTGAATCCATTCTTCTCTTCACGCTTACCTTTGACAGTGACATGAACAGTCTGGTTGATTGACACCTGGGGCTGGATCAGAACGCTACACAAGTAGGTGCCCTCGTCTGCGCCCTTCTGCACGTCCGTCAGCCTCAGGGTGCCATTCTCAAAGACCACTTGACGATGATTATCAGGCAGCTGCATGCCGTCCTTCAGCCACTTGATGGAGTAATACGGGTAGCCAATCACGCGGCACGTTATGTAGGTGTTCCTGCCCGCCACTGCGGTGATGTCCCGCATGGGTCTGATTCGGGGTGGACCTGGAGACACAGGGAAGAGAGGGAGGGGATGGAGGGAGGAGACGGACAGAAAGAAAAGACAAAGAGGTCGGAGAGAGGGGCAGATGAGGTGAGGGAGGTCATGGCAGAGTAAGGGAGCAGCCACGGAGACGGGAGGAGGTGAAGAGATACAGGTTGAGGGATAGAGTGATTGGGGCAAGTTGACAGGTGGAGAGGGAGGTTAGTTATGCTCCCTTTACTAAAATCTGATTGAGAATATTTGTGGATTTTAATCTAATCAAATATGTGTATATTCATATTGAAGTGATTGTGTGTTTTTTCTAAAGTACCCTCAGATAGAGAGACAGAGAGATAGATAGATAAGACTAGATAAGAGAAGAGGAGAGGAGAGGAGAAGATAGTAACTGTGTTTGGAATTCAAAGTAATCTATGCCTCTCACTAGCCCTTGTGTTTGTATCAGGTGTAGAGTGCATTTATATTGAAAAGCAGACAGGCACCTCTTACGTTTATGCGCGCTTGGTACTCGGCGCTACCGGCCGAGTTGCGTGCGACGCAACGATACACTCCCCCATCTCGAATGAGCGGGCTGCTGACGTTGACGTGTGACACGGTCAGGCCGTCGGACAGGGTGTACTGGCTGGTCTTGTAGGTGGAGTCTCGCACCACGGGCTCGTCGTCCAGCGTCCAGGTAATGGAGGGGGGCGGGGCTCCTTTGGCCCCACACATGAGGGAGAAAGGCTCGCCGGGGTTCACCACCCGCTCGCTGAAGGAAGACACAATACGAGGAGTACCATCTAAGAGGAGACAGAGAAAACCAGAGAGAGAAAGATGAAAAATAAAGAAGGACATAAAGACAGAGTGGTGAGACGTTCTGACAAAGAAGCAACATGTTCAACAACTTCAGATCTGTTCATGCCCATCTCTCTTTATGTATCTATCAATGACATTTGCAACAGCAAACAATTTATGCACGGCTTGTCAGATGAAGAATAACAGTCAACAGTTAAAGTAGAAGCTGTAAACATAAAGAGCATGGTTTCCTGCTGTTACGATGCTGTATTAAAATGCCTGCTGCGTCTGTGTTTATACAGAATGTGCACTTGTTTAGTTCCCCGACAGTCTCTGTCCACATACCCTCGAGCAGAATAATGGAAAAGTCCTGAGCAGTGTGGCCCTTTCGGGAGGCGAAGCACTGGTAGGCCCCAGAGTGGAACTTCTGCGCTGCAGTGATCTGCAAGGTGTCGTTGTGTTGTCCCTGGATGGAGATGTGCTGGTCGGGGACAATGGACTCTGTGTTGCGGTACCAGTTGATGGTGTATTCTGGAGAGCCCTCCACAGTGCATGTGAAGAACAGTGTGCTGCTGATGCCAGTTTTCAGATTCTTAGGGGACAAGGTCACTCGTAGTGGATCTGAGAGAAGGACACGTGTTGTTCGTTAGAATACTAAAGGAAACATTTTCTTTCTTTTGGTCTATGCATTTTCTGCTTCACTGAAAAACAATTTGTTAGGTTGCCATATAAATAAAATATATTAGAAGTATTTATGCTTGACAGCTTGTTTTACTATATCTTGATATCCAAAGACTTTAAAAAAAATTCTATTGTTTTGGTCAATAATGAAAAGATTACCAAGTGGGGTGGTGCCACTGTGCAATGAATTATAATCATAAAGCGTGCATTCGTTTTTTGTTAATTGATTGGTGCTAGATAACACAACAGTAAAAAGGCTTCACAACCAGTAATCATCCATTAGATAAAAATAAATGTTGTGCTGCCAGATTTGTAATCATTTGAATTATACCCTTGCATTTACAGATAATATTAGATTATTACTCATTTGCAAAGCATTAACGATTCATCATTTGATTTATAAACACATTTTAAATCCTTTATAAGTATGTTGTATTGTCAAGTGATACCAATTACTCTATATGTATTTATATTCATATATACACACAAAAGGCGTTTACATTCATAGAGACAGCGAGAAAAAGAGAGAAAGCACAATCAGCGGTGGTGACTCAATCACTTCGACGCACTCATTAAAAAAGCAGCTGGAGATATCTCTTCACATCTCTGTCCACTTTTGCGTGTGTGTGTGTGTGCAAATGTCAGTGAGCAATAAGGCAGCTGGTGGTGTGTGCTGGGGGGCATCGCTGTGCCTCCCCCCCCCACCCCCCACCCTGTCAGAGTCACAGAGTGTGCTGCCATGATGTGCCCACTGGCAAAGCCTACCTCCTCTCTATTCTCTCCCTCTGTCGCGCCTTCTCTTTGTTTCTTTGTATAGTTTACACAATGTACATTTATCTCCGCCTCTCTAATTATCTTATCACATTGTAGATAATGTCATTCCAGCACTTTCTGGATGTCTGATCGTCCCTTCTGTGACCCCTCGTAATAATCTCCGTCTTCCTCGCCCTCCTCCCTGACGGTGAATGGTGCTGGCAGCTCTGTTACGGATTCGGTCTCACTGAATTACCGCCCCGTCTCTCTTTTTGAGACCTGATATGACGGGGCATCATACAGCTCACACATGTGTTTGTCACAGAGACACTCTAGGTGTGACTTATATGTGTGCCTCAAACCAAAAGAAGAGGAGCTTCTGAATGTGTCCATCTGCCAGGCTGATTCACTGAGAAGACAGTGCGGGAGTCTGTCAGGTTGTTAAGTGAGTTGTGAGTTGTGTGTGTGTGTGTGTGTGTGTGTGTGTGTGTGTGTGTGTGTGTAGTTGCACCTATAACGTGAAGCTGTCCAGACACCTCCTTTGAGCCAAAACTGTTGGTGACCTCGCACGCGTAGCTGCCACTGTCCTCCTGCCTCAGGTCGCTGATGGTCAGCCCCGTCAAACGCCGTGTCCAGCGGGCATCCGAGGGCAGCGGGCGACCATCTTTCAGCCAGCGCACGGTGGGGCTGGGGTACCCTCCCGCTGTGCAGGGGAGCTCGATACTCTGGCCTGCGTGCACCTCCCCTGCTTGGAAACTGTCCAGGATGGTGGGCGAGGACTCGTTGGGGTCTGGAGGGCAGAGATGGGTTAATTCTTTGGTCAAGACAAAGAGAATTATCAGACTAACATAAGTAAACTGACAACACCAAGCTGCTCACCCATTACAGAGAGCCTGGCTCCATTGCTTTGGCGCGTCTCGCCGCTGTACTTGTGTTTGGTGATGCACCGGTATGTGGAGAGGGCATCCTCCTTCTGAACATCAGAGATGTAAAGAGCCCCGAAGGAGGTCAGCGAGAACCTGTTACCTGAGGGAGACACATCCAGTAAAGACTTGCATTCATTTCCACAAAGAAAAACTGCTGACAGACTGCTAAAAAAGCCTGCACCAAGATGATCGCTCTGGTACAAATGCATTGTGCTCATTGCAAAACCATATTGTGCAAAGAACAAACAGCTGCCTGAACAGTTGGCACTACCTGCCTGATAATGTAGCTTCCCAAAAACCTGGCACTCTTTCAAGGCCTGGAGGACAGGCAGCGGTCACTTACACCACCCATAGACAGAGAAGAGACAGATTTACTGCCCCTCTACACGTCGTGTAGAACTGCACCATCATCTCCAAACTATCTAAATGTTTAAAGTGTAGTGACGAAAGTGGAAGGCCAAAGATCAAGTGTGCAACTATGTGATGAGAGCGGCCTGCTTTCTTTCATAGCAAGTTGTGCTACTCAAAGAACCGTGGTACATAACCCAAAGTTTCCATGCTGTGCCCACTCATTGGAGGAAGAGTGGGGAAACCAGAGGCACATGAATTATCCGTACTACTTCAACATAACACATCTTGCAAGAGCAATTGTCTCACAGCTTGCCGTAAGTCTGACATATTTCAAAATGGTTGCCGCGATACAATAAGGTTAGTTGAGGTTTGCCAACATCATTTCGTCTTTTTGCATCTAAGCTACAGGCCCGCAGCTGGATTGGCTGCGTTCAGTTGCACCTGTGTGTTTATCAGCATCAATATTTTATCTACAAGCTCTGTGTTTGTCAGGGTCTTGCGGAGGGGTTGAGCAGAAAAACTGAAGGTAGCAGTTATGGACTGTGCATGTGTTTGCATGGAATATACCGCATGACCCGAGAGGGAGGCACAGGCTGCAATTTCACAGCAGCCTTTGTTTGCCCCCCAGAATGAAGCCTTACAGGATAATGAGCACTTTAAGACTGCTACTCCCACAACACCGACGACTCGCCTGTCACAACACTCTGACATAGGCAAGGGGGGGGAGAGAGAGAGAGAGAGAGAGAGAGAGAGAGAGAGAGAGAGAGAGAGAGAGAG